AACTCGTTTTTTTCACGTAAAAAAACCCTGGGTAAGATATATGGCAACATACCATTCACTTACCTACATATATCATGAATAATGTATTTAGTGCTAAAATCAACACTCAAACACAAAGGTGGGACATGAAAATTCAAAATTCTATATCATTTCAGTGTCTATATAAAATATTAGCAAAGGTCATTCCTCAAACAAGTCTCCAGTGTCCTGCAGTAGTTAAAAAATATCCTGGTGTTACCATGTGAATCTACAAAACTTATTTTCAAATCAGTCTGCTGTTTAGGAAAAGAGATGAAATAAAACCATGTTTGAACTATATAAAATCACTGAATATTTATCCAATTACTCATTAACTAATAAACTTTTTTTCTTTTCTTCTCAAAACATGCAAACAAATTGCTGTAATCCCTTAAAGTATAAGATTTTCAAAAATATTAAAGTATTCTTGGTGATTTCTGCAAAGATTATATGGTTTGACAGACATACAAGCATATTTTTTTTTTATTACATTTCATGGGCTTCTCTTGTCAGATATGATAAACTATAAGATCTTTATTCAACCTCTGAACTGAAAAATTACTTTACTTTGCTTATTTTGGTTTTTATACATCTGTTTTTAGCATGGAGGGATTGGCTTGCATATTGCAAAGTTATTAACTTAATAATTAATAATATTATTATACTGTCCTGAAGAAATATCCTATTTTCTTAATTTCAATGCCTCTCTGTCTGTTTACCTGTCTGTCTCTGACAATAGTTATTTCATCTTCATTATGCACTTACTCACATGATTCCAAGAATCATAACAATTCATTATCATTATCAAATCATCAAACAATATCAGTATAATCTAAGAAACTCATTTATGGGTATAAGCTCTGGTCACTCCATGCCCTGTCGCTGATTACAAATGTATAGTTACCAGGTACTCTTAGCTGGCCACAGCTGAATTATCCTATTACATTAATTATATAACACTAGAGTATATGACCGAATAGTTAATTATCATTTTACAAGCACATAATAAACTATTGAACTACTTTCACCCCCTTAGGGATTAGAGGAAAATACATTGATTGATAAAAATAGTAATCATAAGAATAACGAGTCATTATCATGTTAACAACTAAAGTAAAGAGAGAAAAATAAAAGGAACAATTTTATTAAATATAAATACATACATAGACAAAACTATTTATGAAATATCAGGTATCATTTGAACAACCAAGAGCATTCTTAATAAATGAAGGCATTATCAATAATTCACATTCTTATACATCATACCTATCTGCAACTTAATCTGTATTAGATCAATCTTTCACATTCATCACTTGTAATTATCACAAGTAACCAATTGTATAACAAAAATATTAAACCCATGCTTAAATCTCACACTGCAGTCAATGAAAGGTTATATTAACACTTAATAATGCAGTACATGCTTATTCACGATAGATTGCATCTTGAGTTTAGTAATTTTGTCTCCATAACACATTTTCTTATATGATTTAACAGATCACAGTCTGTCAGTCTCATTTTCATTACAATAAAACCTCACATCTAAGACATGTGTTATATTTTTTTTATAGGGAATATTTGCACTACAAATGAATATCATCTTTTGAAAGAATTATAAATATAATTATGGATGTATGAGGCTCCTAGCTAGCACCATGTACTCTCAATTCCAATATTCAAATTTCAGAAAGTATGGAATAATCTTTATGAAAACAGTCAAATGGTGAATATGTAATACTGTTTTAATTTCCAGGAATGTATCAAAGAGGTATAAGCCTTAAATCAGCTATTAAAGCAAAATTACTATCAACCTAATAATGAAGTTTAATTTTCCTAATCTTTCAAGAGTGAATTTTCAAAAATCTATGAAGCTGCCAATTATTTCCTTTGACCACTTTTATTTCCTGAGTGCATATCAACTACAGTATTAATAAAATGCAGACAATAAAATTATACTTTCCAAACAAAAATATACTGCTGTTCTCAAAAGTCCATCATTTTTTTGAAGTACAACATACTATCATCACTATTTTCAGTCAGTTTACCTTCATTACTAGCCTCTCAATACTGTTGAACTAAAATCCCTGTCAGCTAAGAACTTATGGCTTTAAGTTTTGTTCAATCCATGTCCTGTATTTGCTTACAGAGGTGTAGATACCAGGTACTCCTTGCTGGCCACAATTGACAGGACCATAGGAGACAATGCCAATCTGCTGGTAAGGAGGACCAAAAGTACCGGCAAGTACCAAGGGACCACCTGAGTCTCCACTGCAAGAGTCTTCACCAGCATTACCGCCAGCACAGAGCTGGAAAAAAACAAGATTAAATTGTACAGACATATGTAGAGAATATTTCTGGTAAGTTCAGAATATCATGATTTTTAATAATTTTGTAGCCTTTCTATATAACTTAAAAATACTTGAAAGGCTGCACTATTAAAGTAAATAAATATATGAATATAAAACAAACATACATATCAATTTCTGGCCTACTTTGATCTTTTGAAGGTCAAAATAAATTGTTAACTGTATTCTTTTGAATCTTCATATTTCTCACATGAACTAACTACATAAATCTGAATGTCCTTACCTGTTCACCGACTATACTGCCTCTGTAGACCTGACTACACTCAGTATTGTCAATCAAGGGCAGCTTTACATGCTTAATTTTGTTACTTGCAGCGCCAGTTTCAGTGAAGCCCCATCCAGCTGCAATTGCAGATTTGTTACCAGCTGCTGTACGTGGGGAGAAGTCAGATGGAGGCAGGCACACAGGCAACACAAATCCTGGAAAATTGTAAAGATAAATAACATTTGGGATTAAATGCCATATCAGAGATGTGTTTCCTGTCTCTTTCGCTCCTCTTACATGTCTATACAATTTAGTGGCTTTTCATTTATAAGTGACATCTATTATATTATAACGTTCCTATTCTAGCTTCTATACTATCTTCTATTCTAGCTTCTATACTATCTTCTATTCTAGCTTCTATACTATCTTCTATTCTAGCTTCTATACTATCTTCTATTCTAGCTTCTATACTATCTTCTATTCTAGCTTCTATACTATCTTCTATACTTATGTGACATATATTATGACCACTAATGTTTTCCAGTTACATATATATATCTCTCTGCTCATGTATTTCAATTACACCCAGGCCATCTTAGGTACCTAACTCCTCTTGGTCAACTTACCTGCTGATTCCTGGAAGTTAATGGGCCTGTTGAGCCTAATGAGTGCAATGTCATCGGAGAAACGCACACGAGTGTTGTACGAGGGATGAGCAATAACTTCCTCAGCCTCGAAATCTTGAGCTGGAGGAGCACAGAAGAGCCCACCGCCATTTGTACTTTCACAGTCTTCTGCGGTGGTGAGGTCCCATTCGCCCAGTCGAACTACTTCCCTGCACAGAGAGTAATGATGTATAAGTAATGAGAATGCTGTTTTAAATGTCCATTACATAATTTATGAATCCCTTGTATGGTATAGCTTATGTATATGTATATATATGTATGTCCATATCTTCAAATAATAAAATTTTTTTTTTTTTTTTGTCAAATACAACTTACAATCTCCGTGTGCCAAGTGTACCAGGATCTACACAGTGGGCAGCAGTAAGAACATATCTCTCATTAATGATTGAACCCCCACAGAGAAATTCAGTGCTAGGTAATCCACTATCTGAAAGTATATAAAAACTAGAATTAACAAAACAAACCAACACAATACCAAAAAATAAATTTAATTGTTTTCTTAAAAACAGAGAGAAGAAGAAGAAGAAGAGAAAGAAGATGAAGAAGAAGAAGAAGACTTTGAGATCATTTTAGTTAAAGCCAACTTTGTGTGACATTTTGGTCTTGATATAGATGAACTTTATCATAAAAGGTACCATAATCCTCATATAATATACTTTAAGCATATACATCAACCAAGGAAATATTAAAAAAACAACAACACTGCCTATCAAAATCAAGTAACTCCATCTGCAAATCAATCAAAATAACAGATCACAGGATATCTCTTACAAAGAAATTTCATGTAATAGACCATCTTTTCATACCTCTGTATCCTAGAACAGCCTTCCATGGGTATGCATCCAGTGGGGCTACTTCTCCACCAACAATTCTGTTCAAGTGGGCACTATGTCCACAATTTTCTGGAAGTAGAGACTTTGTGGGAAGTGTAGGTGTCTCAGTTGTAGTTGTAGATGGACAGCATACCTAGAAACAAATGAAAAATGTATTTATGAAAATTTAAAAGATTAGTTATCTCATATAAAATATATCTATTATGGCACGAAAATCACAGTATTCAATAAATCTTCTTCACATGTAAATGCAATGATCTTTCATTAACCTTATAACTTACCATAGGTTCCCGGTTCCTGATAAAGCAGGTGGCATCTTGTAGCTTCTTGATATTGCTTCGTGTAGGATCTTGTAAAAGACTTAGCAGAGCTGGACATTCTCGAATTGAGATACACTGACTGCTCACACAATCTGTGCCTGGAAATGGGTTGACTCAGATTAGTGATAAATAAATGTGCTTTTGCATATCTGCTGGCAAAACATGTAAAAATCATATCCACATTAACAAAATGAACATCATATCCATTTAAATTATAACAATTGGTTATTGAGTAATCTCAAAACAAATCTGGCAAAAAAATGAATGAAACACCTTTACATCATAATTTTTTTTCAATGTCTACACAAAAGAAACTACAAAATTAAAAGTATTTTTCTAATACATGAACTACACCCAACCATGTAAGCACACAAAAGGACAGATTCTTTCAACCATGTATGATAAATGACTCTGGAACTTGTTACACTCATGGTTCAGATAATTATCATAATGTGATCTTATTAGATAGGACACTGTAACGATACTAATTTATTTAACACAAACAGATGTTTCCTTATTGTTAAAAGATACATCAAAGTCTAAGAAAAATCAAAATACCACTTTTTGACAGTAAAGTCGAAAACTTACAAAAACTATATCTACTAATTAACAAGTTGCAAGTAAAAATGACTCTGAATGGGTAGCATTGGCCTGATCTTCCTACAGGCTACAAAAATGAAGCCCAAGTTACAATATGTAGATTTTGCACCAATCAATATATGAAGGCAATATCATAATAAGGCCAAGCGAGTCTATGTGGGCTTATCTGAAGTCTGACTGGGTCTGTGTGGGCACAATGTATGTTAATTATGAGGTTTATGCGGTACACTGACTGTGCAACCTCATCCAAAGACCTGACTCCTCATGACAAGGAAGTGTCAAGTCTATAAAGAGTTGCCATGTCAGACACGACAATTATCTAATTTGCGCTATATAGCACGATTTTCGTTGAAGGCCTGCTGATATTCATATATTTTTTTATTCTAATTCAGTTACAAAATTGCTACTGCGTTGTTGTGTATCATGTAGTGTCTGTTATATCAATTATACTTCTTCAGGGTCACGTCCATTTGTCTGTCACGTCGCACATATACACTATGATGTGACGGGAATGTTTTTGAGTCCACAAATCACACATATAATCAAGTGTTCTGCGTAAAATGGGATACTTATGGAATTACAATTTAAAATTATTCCAAGAGTTGTACAAAAAAGAAAAAGAAAAAAATCCCATCAGATGAATTTATCCCAAAAAGGAAGTATGAAATCACCTCACATTTTTCACTGCATACTAAACAAAACCTTGCAATTTGCTTAACACTCCTAAAGATACCATTGCGATGCAAAATGAACAGCACAATCCCAGCGTAAAATTCCATTAAAGTGGTTCCTTTCGTGGAAAATCCAAGTCAGACGCCGGGGGGGAATTCCCAGTTCAAATTACTACATTGCATAAGCATGCCACAGCTGCAACAGGAACCAGAGCTTGTAAGATGCGTGGATTTTTTTTTTTTTGTAACATGTAAGCCAAACGGATTTCTTGGGAAGAACAATATGATCGCAGGATGTTTTTATACTCTTAACAGGGATGAGCGAGGTATGTTTTGTGAACGTGTGCGCAAAGGTCTACATCTGTGTGTGTGTGTATTATATACACACACACACGCACACACACACACACACACACACACACACACACACACACACACACACACACGCACACACACACATATATATGTATATATATATATATATATATATATATATATATATATATATATATATATATATATTCAACAGCCTCTGCTTCCACTGTAGGAACTCGGCATCGGTCAATGCATTATTGAGAGGTTGTTTGACAGTATCACCCTTGTCTGATTGGCGGCGACTCCCCCCTACGACAGTCATACACATGACACCTACGTTTAACCTCCCAAGACGAAATGTAGTTTTCTCACCGTGAGGTCGAGCCAGCAACGCGCTGGTATTTTGCAACTGCCCACACACACACACACACACACACACACACATACACACACACACACACACACACACACACACACACATATACTTACATTCAAACACACACACGCCCATTACTTTAGGCTTTATTTATGCCGGGTTCTCTTGTGTATGTTTAAATTGACTAAATCCATTTGGAAATGAATCCTTACACAAGACCCCTACGTAATAATAGCCATATACGGATGTCAGGGCATTTCTCGCATGACACACCGCATGACAAAACACCTGGGACGTCATAATGAAGAAGCATTTACCTGCGAAGTTTCGCCACACTTCCTCATGTTTCAAAAAAGATTGAGATTTCAACATAATATTATATATATATATATATATATATATATATATATATATATATATATATATATATATATATGTATATATATATATATATATATATATATATATATACATATATATATATATATATTATATATATATATATATATATATATATATATATATATATATATATATATATATATATATACATATATATATTATATAAATATCATTTTACATATGTATGTATATTTATGTATATATTCACTATATTATACATACATACATATATACATACATACCACACACATATACATCTATATCTATATATATGAATATATATATGTATAAATATATATGCATGTGTGTGTGTGTTTCTGCGCAATTCCATATCTATCTATCGATATAAATCGTATATGAATAAATAGATTAATTAATAAATAATATATATATCGTATCAAATTTCGAATGATTTTTTTTTTACGATCATTAATTTGTTATGAAAATAACCCTGTCATTCGAATCAAATATCTATACATTATCCTGTTTAACACTCTAAAAAAATCCCTTTAAATGGAATTCGAATAAGACAAAATAACCCTAGTTAACCACAACAACAACAACAAAAACATTAATTTCACCCTAAATCCCAGTCGAATAAAACTACGTGTACGATATCCTAGTTAATAACCACACACACAAAAAAACTCACCCTGGCTGGTTGCCTGCTGCGCCACCACCAGTAGAACTGCGGGTACTATCCACGCC